AACCGAGATTAAAATTAATCTATATTGGTAGAAATGGGCATTATAGTTTTCGGGGATACAGTATATAAATAAATACTACATCCTGAAAAATTTTTTTTTTTTTTTTTTTCGGAAATTAAGCGCTGTTTCTGGAAAGAGACTTGTATTCAGAACGCGCTTTACGATATTATCGCGTATTTAACGTTAACGCCGTTAACATATGGTTCACATTACCACCGACGAAATACTTTAATGGTATGGGTGCAGCTACAATAAGGAATTAGAAATAAATTTAAGATTTCAATTTATTAGAAAGCGGATACACCGGAATACACGGTTTCTGATAGGTTGGAATCGTTATTTCTTATTCTTAATTCCTTGTTCTTTCTATTGTGGCTGCACTCTAACCTATATTGTAATTTGTAGGTTGTGAATTCGTATACAGCAAGACAAATTGAAGAATGTAAACAAAAATATACATTATAAAAACAATATTAAATTGTGAAAAATTATATAAACTAATCTTAGTTTCAGTTATATAAAAATTTAAATATTATGTAAGTGTAATTTGTAATATAATAATAAATTTTGTAATAGAGCTGCAAATTTCGATATGGAAAAATAAGTAATTATTTATAAAGATAAGTGTGTCATAATTTTAAGATGCATTTTAACAATTATTTTTTATTCTTTACAAATATATTTAACGATTCTTGTTACATCAATAATAGGATATATATTTATTCCATGGTCAGAAATTGTTAGTAAAAAGCTTTTAATTTTTTTGTCAGGAAATCCTGCAAGTGATGTATTAATAACATTGGTAGTAAAAGTGTAAACATTAAATAAAGATATGATTATCCAGGAAGAAGGTCATATGTATTGAGCAAATTGATGAAATTAAATTTCATATTTATAACAAGGCATTATTTTTTAAGCAAAATGCCTCACTATGCAGTAGCCAGGGGTCGAAAACCTGGAATTTACGCTACATGGTAAGAAAATCAATTTAACTAATAAATTATCAGCAAAAAGAAATTAAATAAGAGTTTTTCTATTTATATATATATAACAGGGATGAATGCAGTGCTCAGGTTCTTAAATTTCCTGGATCAATATACAAGAAATTTGCAACAGAAAGCGAGGCTCAAAACTTCATAAAAGAGCGTTCTTCTTCAACTGAGGGAACAAATTCTAAGAGCCTCTCTTCATCAAAAATTGTAAAATCTGCAAGGTAAATATTAATCCTTCACTGGCAGTATGAAATTTTTTATTATAGTTTACATCCTGAGTTGTTGAGGTCTATAACAGATTTTTTTATTGATTTAAACTATGTACAAATCTAGAAAAATTCTTATTTATTTTTGAAACCTTTAACATGTTTTTACCATAAGAGAAGTAAAATTACATTTTACTTATTTTTTTGCAAATTTAAATGTAATAATTTTGAAAAAACGTGATATTGATTAAAAGTGTATAACTTTTATATGAGTAAATGAAAAAAAAATCTTTTTGGATTACAATGCTTTAGGGTAATACTTAAAAAAATATAATGATGTTGACTTCAAAACGTTAAATTATTTGAGCACCTAGAAAAATAAAATTTTTATGAATAAAAACAAATTACAAGTTCTTTGGAAAAAAAAATAATAAAATGATAGCGATACCGAACTTTATTATTCCTTTTCTTAAAATTCTCACAATAATAAAATTGACTGTGTCTTAAAAGATCCTATATTGTTGATGAAAGGTTAATAGCAATTCCTGTTTAACATAAATAAGAAAGAAATATTGCAAAGTTAATGAAACTCTGAAATCTCATTACAATATATCATTTAAAGCTAATATTTTATATATAGATTTCAAACCTTACCGAAACAGTTGTTTACACTTGGTGGTAAGCAATCTGCAATAGTTCAGACAAAATCATTATCATCAATTTCAAAGAGGACTTTATCTACAAGTGACGATAGTAATGAACACCCGAGCAAAAAGAGAAAAATAACTGACATTTCAAACAATTGCCTTAGATTAGCTCAGTGTCTCAACCAGGTTTGAAATTAATAGTACATCAATAAAACCTCTCAAATCTAAACTGATCAACTCTACTATTTATAAATTTTTTAATTTTAATATCAAAGCGCATAATTTATAATTTTATTAATTTTTTATTTCATAGTTGAATAGTTGATCTAGTTGATGTAGTTGATCAGTATGGTCTGAGAATTTCATATATTTATAAATAAATAAAAAATAAATTATATTGCAAAAATATATTTCATAAATTTGGATTATATAGGATGACAAAGCGGATTTTATCGTGGATGAAGACGGTTATGTAAACGTTTTTACGGATGGCGCATGCAGTTCGAATGGATATAAGAATGCACGAGCCGGTATCGGTGTTTGGTTTCGAGACAATCATCCCTTGTATATTTTATTTTTCAATCTTGTCCATTGTCTATTAAAACTCAATGAATCTGCGCGTAATATAGGTATAATTTTCGTAGAAATGTATCTGAACCGGTAAACGGGCGACCTACTAACAACATGGCAGAAATCCAAGCTGTTACAGTAGCTGTGAGACAGGCGAAAAAGGCAGGAATCAAGAAGTTGAAAATCAACACTGATTCTAAATTTCTCATCTCCTGCATTACGCAATGGATGCCAGCGTGGAAGAGGAGAGGATGGAAAACTGTGGAGAACAAACCAGTTATAAATAAAACAGAATTATTGGAAATGGAGAAAGAATTAGGGAACTTGACTGTTGCTTGGGTAAGCAATTTTTTATTTAATAGTTATATATATATATATATATGTGTGTGTATATATATATATATAATGTTTACAAGTAATATAATATAAACATACTATTGTGAAAGATATTCAATTTTCTAGAATCATGTGAATGGACATGCAGGAATTTACGGTAATGAAATGGCAGACCAACTGGCAAGAGAAGGCTGCCTGCGATATAAAAACCAAGCTGAATAAAAGATGAAAAGTGCAACTACTTCTTACAAATTATATCTTACATTATTTGTTTTATTTTTACATACATAAACTTTTCTATAGAGAACATTATGTAGTATTTATTGTACATGAAATCTAATATATAATTCACTTTTGTTATAATACACAATAAATCTAATCTACAATTTACTCTTATATTTTTTCTTTTTTTAATGAGTTTTATTGTAAAAATAATGTGATCAGACACAAAATATGATTAAAATTGTAGAGTACATTATTACACTTTTACGCATATAAACAGAAATTACTATCACAAAAACGGTTGCAATATATATGACTAAATCATACTTAATGACAAAAATCATACTTAATGACTAAATCATACTTAATGACAAAAATGGTTAATTCTCGTTAAATAAAAATATGAGAAATACGAATGGAAATAAAATATTTTCCACTATAGATTATATTTCTAAAAAAATACATGCTATTTTTACATTTCTATCTACATAACTACATTTTTTATTGCGATGTAATTATTAAAGCTATCAATTACCAAATCAGTAAACTAACATACAAAATCATTGTTCCATAGATGAGACAGAAGTTTGCGCATTCTCGTTTGTTGTCTGTCGGTTCAGCGATTTCGACGATCTCGTCGATATTTGTTTAAGAAGGGTGTAAATATCCTCCGGAGATACTTGTAACGCCAATAATTCCAATACAATTCTACAAGCAGAGAAAATTGTATTGTGATAAAACTGTGCGGAGAGGTTATGTCCCGTGGGCGTAATTCCACTTTCGACAACTGTCGACAAATATCTCACCGAAAAACTCCGGGTACCGTAGAGATTCCCGTTATTTCGGCCAGTTCAATCAGTTCTTGTCGATGCGATTGCGAAAATGCCATTTTCCGCGAAAATCATCGACCGCACAGACTTTTGGATTTACCGCGCGAAGTTGTTCGCAGGCAAGCTCGAGATTTTAGGTAATTCAGATCCGACAATCGTCGCAATTGTAGTTTTTTTTTTTTGTACAAACCAATGAATCACAGCAATCTCAACCAATCAAACATTACCATCGGCCTAGTGAATTTACCTGATTAGATTTAGTGGAAAAATTCCAAGCACCAATCAGAAAATGTGTAATAAATTAGCCAATTACCGACGTGGGATTAACTCCACCCCAAATTTTCCATTTCCTGTTCTCTGCCAATGAAATTTTTCGAATAGTCACGTGATCAACAAATCAAGAGGAATCGTGGGATTCAAATTTTCTATACGTAGCGTTCTATATACACCGCTCGCTAATGAAAAAAAAGACAAAGGCCATCTTCGACATTTTCGTACGACTTTCCGTGCAGAACGGACGTGATTGAGTAGCATAGGGCTGAAGGTTTTATAATTACTACGCTAATTGCCGACATCGAAAATGAGCAATAAGTAAGTTTTGAATACGACATTTTTGCTTGCGAAAACATTGTAGGATCTCGGATAATTATCGTCGGTTTATCGAACCGGCGAGGACCTGTTGCTTCATTGCGTCATTTCTTTGTTCGTCCATGATATCGTATAACTTACAATTGGAACGTACAAATTTAATATACATTATGGAATTATTGATCGATATTAATTACGAAGTCATTAATTAACGCAATCATGGTGTCGAGGATAGAAATGGATATTTTGTTGAAGAACACACATTGCCTGTTCTTTTTGGCCGAACATTGCATCATTTCATCCATTTTCCTTTTCTCTTCAGGAGAAAAGAAGGGGAACAAAGATGAACTGGTGCAAAAGTTCAGCCATAAAGAAAAGGACCACGATTTTACTGGAAAGATAATGAAAGCGAGATTTAATAATAGTTTAATAATAATTTAATAATAAATTTAATTAATAATTAAAAAACTATTATGAGAATGTCCTGAGAATCGCAATCAAGACTTATATAAATATTGAAAATGTCTGCTTTTTTTTCTTTGTGTTCCTTCTGATGTAATTTGATAATGCCACGTTTTTAAAACTGTAGTTCCTTCCGACATATTTGATATAATGTCCCGTCTTTAAAACTAATTATAGATATAATAAAGAGAAAGTAAAAAAATTTTTGAATGCAAAGTTGCCCTTTTCTGATTATACTCTTGAAATTTATATTTGCAAGATAAAGAAAAAAAGCAAAAAACAATTACATGATCTGTTTGCGTTGTTTGAAATCCCCCAAAATTTTTTAACTTAAAGTGAGGTAGGTAGAATAATTATTCAAGGAGCATAAAAACCAATGATATAGAAAATAAACTTCGTATCTAAGTAGTGTATGAAATGTGGTCGACGAAAATGAGAGAGAGGGACCGTGGGAGACGGCCAATCTCTCTCTCATTCTCTCTCCCATTATACCATTGAATGGAAAGAGATAGAAATGGCCGTCTGCCACGGTCCCCCTCTCATCCCTATCGACCATTTTCACACATGGATCGCGCAGTCCATTCTCTATGTCTTTGATAAAAGCCGACACAAGATATTAGAGTGCAATAGTATTTATTCCTTCATATATAACAATAATATAATGATATACGTTTTGACCTTAGATTAGGTCATCTTCAATATTAGAACAAAAATTATAAAATATCTATCTTTAGTAACACAATACATCTATCTTTAGTCTTACATTATTTAACGCCATATGAATTTTACATATCTTGTATTATCTTGTAATTTTAATAAATTTCGTCTTCTTATTTCGTCCTATAAGATTACACCTATTATGAGTTATCAGTCCAGATTTCTTCATAAAACGATCAAATTTAAGATAGATATATATTTGAACGTTGAAAAAGAAAGCAAAGATGCTGAGTGCAATAAGTGCAAGCAACATGAACAGACCTATAATTGTATTTTCCTTTTTTTTAATATTTTCTTTTTTTTGTGAGTATGATGTATTGATGTAATAATAAAAGTAATAATAATAAAAAATATAGGTGTTTTTCATTTGATAACACAAGTCGACACAAGCATCGTTCTGTCTTCTTTATATTTAATAAGTAATAAAGATAGAACGACACTTGTGTTACCAAATGAAAAGACCTTATATACACTAGCAATGTGCAAAAAATTAAAGTCTGAAATTTCTGAATTATTGTCTTGTCAGAAAAATGCCTTTCTACGCAGTGGCTAGTGGTCGTTCGACTGGAGTTTATGACAATTGGTAAGAAAATTAATAAAATAATTGAAAATGATGCTTTTTGCAATCAGAATCTAAATTAATATTTTATGTTAGGGAGGATTGTAAAGACCAAGTTAATGGATATTCCCATAACAATTATAAGAAGTTTGATACACCAGATAAGGCTTGGGACTATGTTGACAAACACTCTTCAAATGCTGGATCATCTAACAATAAAGCTTATGGAGGCAACAATCAAGTTGCACTAAGAGATTACGGTGGTGAAGTTAGCTATCAACGTACTGATTACACGGTATGAAATGGAAAATATTTTGGAAAATGCTAAGGGCACATGTACTTTAACACTTAACAAAATAGTTTAGTGATTATGTATTAATAATTAAAAGGTGCAATGTAGTAACATTATATTTTACTTTGTCCCAATTCTAGAAACGTTTTCCAAGTTTTAAATTGAATTTAATGCTATATTAATTGCTTTTATTTTTCAATTTCCCTTGATGACTATACTTCCTTTAATTAATGATATAACTGTCGATTTGCAGGAGGGAAGAAATTCTGTCGTCGTACGTGACCGTCTTTACAGGAGTGGCAGAGATGGAAATGGTGGACAGTTTGTCGAAAAAGGCACACGTACTTACTGGAAAAATAATAATTAAAGAGATGCCATTATGAGAATAACCAAAGAATCTCACTTTTTCTTCTTAAAAGTTTTTTTTATCTTATCATATAGAGCATGAACAAAACTTATTTAGTTTATTAAAAGTTTGGATCAATTATGGAATGTATTATTTTAATTTTGCATGTTATTGGTTACATACAAGTTGATTACTCGTGCATTTTCTTTAAAAATATTCCACAAGATTAATAAATAAATAAATACTATCTGTATACAACCACTTATTTTATAATCCTTAAAAAATTATAATTTCTGATTTCATTAAAATGGCAATTTTTCTTATTACGGGAGTTTGTGAGCAAACTTTATCGAATCTCTTTGCCTGGAAAATTGGAATTGTTTTTGAGACTTGCCTTGGAATTTGTGTCCTTCAATGGTACTCGCTTTTTTTTTTACCTATCCTTAGATTACTTTGGGATCAGATTCATATTTTAATTCTTCGTGTTTATCAACAACGTATCTTTCTAATCTAAACGCCTAATGCCCCATACACGAAGTAGGTACGTAACAAGAGTCTTGGAATCGAATTCATTTTTGCTTAAGTGGTCACTTTAGCATTAATTTTTCCAGTATCTTGTATAAAAATTAAAAATAAAATTTAATTATATTTTATAAATATATATTATAAATGTTTTTGTAATATAAGAAATTTATATAAAATTATATATTATCTATATATTTATAAAATATAATTACATAAAGACATAAAAAAACTTTATCATGTTTTCTTTATTAAATTAATTTTTTTTATTAAATGTTTCCAGATACTTGAAATAGTAAAAATTCGTTCTTCCTTACTGTGAGAAAAATAATTGCATTTGAAAAATACGCCTTAAGAATAAGATGCAATATAGGGAAATTTCATAACTTTTTGTCATGTAGTGCTAGAATAGAACATTTACTCCGGATCTACAATAGGTGTTTTAAGCCGTAAGAAATTGACCATTTATAGTCTAATCCGAGAAGAATAAGCGACTGTGATTCGCCCATTTCTTATGGCTTAAGGCTTAGAACTCTATTGTAGATCCGGAGTAAAGCTCCGGACACAATGCAAAGAGATAGCGATAACAATAGAAATAACACGATTTCAACCCATCAGAAATTGTATATTCCAATGTATCTGATTTCTGATAGATTCAAATCGTGTTATTTTTATCGCTATCGCTATTCCTTCGCATTAGGTGCATTCAAAGCACGACCGTTCACTGAGCGTTCAGTGAGCGGTCGTGCTTTTGAATTGTTCTGGCTGCACCATTGAGTACATTCAGCGGACTTAACAGTTGAGTGAGCGCTCACTGTTATTGGTGTATTTTTTTAGCTTATCGAATCAGAATTTTAGATCTAGAAGAATACACCAATAATAAACAGCGAACGCTCACTCAACTGTTGAGTCCGTTGAAAATGCCCATTGTGTCTGGAGCTTAACGATTGAATGCGGTTGCAGTGTTGCGATTTATCGTCAAACTGGCGATTTTTTACTTGGTCGGGCGACTTTATTTTCGGATTTGGCGACTGGCGATTTTCTTGGCAACTAATATTTCTGATGTTGGCGACATTGGCGATTTCTCTCTCTTTCGTCTCCAAACATGCTGGGAAATTTTCTAATGCGCTGATTTCTCAATAAATATTGAAATTTCGCGGACGGGTGTTGAGAATCGTGAGGGTGGAGTCTTATGAAGCGTATTTGCCGCGTATCGCGTAATCGCGTAACCAATCAATAATCAGTAAAACGCGAAATCACAATAGCGGATCGCTTCTGATTGGTTACGCGATACGCGTTACGCGGAAAATCTGTGCCATGGGACGGCACTCTAAGGGTGATGTCCCATGAGGTGTATTTACCGCGTATCGCGTAACCGCGTAACCAATCAATAATCAGTAAAACGCGAAATTACAATAGAGGATCGCTTCTGATTGGTTAAGCGATA